TATATATATATATATATATATATATATATATACACAAAACCGGCTTAATGTATTTTTGATCATATTATTGATATTCTTCGTAATAAGAAGGTCTCTCTATATATATTACTTTACTTAATATATCAATAAATGTTATAAGATTGAAATATAGATGAACCAAAAATATATTTTAGAAAATACAAGCTTTGGATTAGACACGCATATAGTGTTTCAGGTTTTAAACTGCATGATATTATTAATTAATTTTTGGATAAATCGCGTGGGTCTTAAATGCATGGACGGAGTGAAGATAGATCTGCCACCTAATCATATCCGAAGGTTCCCTCATCCTCCACCTCTTTTCCTCTATCCAAAAAAACCCTCTCTCTCTTCCTTTCGTTTCCCATAATTTATTTATTTATTTATTGGACTGCTTTTCCTTTCCAATTCACCCATAACCGGAAAAACGATTTAGAGGCTTGCATTATAAACCGGTTCCAACATGATGGTTTACTCCCAAACCGGTTATGATTCATCCGGTTTGAGGCCATAGGTTTGGTGTACGATAGTCTAACCCCCTCGAGACCGATAGATTTTGGTCGATCTAAGCCCAACCCACCTCAAAATTTTCAAAGAATTTGCAATAAATTTTGTGAACCAAACAAGATCATCGATAAAATATATATCAAGTCAACAAATGGAACCGAACATTGTCCAGAAAAAGACACGAGCTTTCACAGTGTTAAAGAGATGAGAACATTCAACATCGACAAACCGTTAGGTTCCTCCGTGGACGAACAAAAAAAAAAAAAAAAGACACTACAAGTCTCTTTCTGTATTCTGACTTCCGTGTCCTAAGCCAGACAACATGAAAAATTGGCCACTTGAAGCGGTAAACAGAAAAAAAGGTCCCTTACTTGATGTATTGGGAGAGCCATTTGAACCCATCGCCATAACCCATCTTTCTGACGATGCTGCACATGAAAACTTCAAGAGGGCGAACCCCGGAATCCGCGAGAACAACCTTTCCCTTCCCCGTTGTGAAATTGGTAAGGCCGAGGTGGTACCTGAGCTCGTCTTCTGAGGCAGCATAAGGGATATCGATCTTGTTTCCAAGGATGAGGAATGGAACGTTGGCTAGGGCTTCATCAGAGAGAAGGGCATCGAGTTCTCTCTTTGATTCGGTAAACCTTTCCTTGTCATAGGCATCCACCAAGTACACAACCGCATCCACCTGTTAGAAGATGGGGAAAAAGTGTAAGCTTTTAGTCTACTACTCTACTTGTTTAGTGTGTATAACCAATGGATTTGGAAAATGCAGCTTTCAGACAAGAATCAAGTCTTGGTTAGGGAAATAAGAAATATGATCCTCTTGGGGCATACCTAAATGAAACAACCCACCCCTAACTAGTAACTCCAAGGGAGTTACTGCACCCTAATTTAGTACATTCCTCTTATCCACACATAATATGTATAAACAAAAAGAACCTTAAAAATGAACTGTATATACAGATTCTACTTAAACTTTCATCTCCACGCTCAGACTTCTAACCTTGTAAGGAAAGTTTCCTGTAACAGGGAACCAAACAATTTTAGATGGTCCACCATATGTATATACATGATATGGGGTAATTTATAAACACAAACAAGACATGCCCAAAACGAGGGCACATGGACAATCCATATATTTCAACTATTGTGGGGTGTGAGCTTGGATAAGTACGAATTCTCTCTCTCTCTCTCTCATGAGGGAGATGAAGTCATCAAAAGCATTACCACATGAAGATCATAAGAAAATAATACATTTGGCCCGACAGGAAATCAAAATCTGAAGAAGTTTGCCTAAAACTTCACTTGTAGGACATGTAAAAGTGGAAATGAAATGTGATTCACAATACCATCATTTTAAGGCTATTGTACTAAAATATAGAAGAAAGAATGCAAAACAACTGCGATTGTTGTTGAAGTAGGGGCAGGGCTTCAATTCCATGGTACAATGTCAGACGATAAACTATAACATCCATGATCCTAAATGTATATGGCCTCGTTGTGGAGAAGGGGAGCAAAAACACAAATTATCTATGTCCGTAAAGCGAAATTGACACCTTCCAATTCAATGGCTATCCGAAACTCACACGCTACATGGAAAGAGGGCAGAGAGAAAGCACAATACAATAGATTTGATTGCCCGGAGAAGGTTGGAACAAAATCAAAACTTAGTTTTTCAAATGTTGGACAACAAGATTCAACAAACAGATAAAGCATTGAACTTTAACAATCAATAGCTCTATTACAATCAATCAAGTCAACGGAGAATTTTAAAAGCATTGAAAGCAGCTAAAACTATTTATGAACTTCATCAATCACACATCCTCCGCAATTAGACAGTTTTAGCGCAATAAACCTCACCACATGAGATGCAGCTGACTTACCGCAATAATGTTGAATCCCATTTTATCCATAGATAGATATCCAGTAATCCAAAAGGGTAACGCAACATGCGGCGATTTACCTTAGCATAGTAATCCTTCCAGACACGGCGAGCGATCTGGTGGCCACCCAAATCGAAAGCCTTGAATTTGATCTTTCCAATGCTCAATTCCTCAGACGTCGGATGCTGTGTCGGCTGGTGCTGCACCAATCTCTGCGAAAGCACACCGATTCAAAAAGAAATCAACCCTAAACATCAAAACAAGGAAAATGGGCACGAACTCAAGTCCGAAAACAAGATCGAAATCAAATTGAAGCAAAACAAAAGCGAAGAACAGACCTCGTCTTTGAGCATGTGAAGGAGAGTGGTTTTTCCGGCATTATCGAGGCCGAGGAAGA